TGTAGAGAGAAATTTTTTTGGCTTTTTTTTTTTTTTTTTTTTTTTTTTTTTTTTTTTTTTGAGGTTGTTCCCAGGACTCTTTCCAGTATTTGGGCATATTATTGTCTTTGGAGTAACCCCTTCCAGAGAACTTAGATGGGGAGTCAAGAGAACTTCCCTAAACAACCACCCTAGCTGCATGGCCCTTCCCATCCTTACCCCCTGATCACTTCTTAGAGCAGCTACTGAGAAATAAAATAGGCCAATGCTCTGATAGAAGGAGCCAAAGTTGACTGGCTTCTGGTGTCTTCCTGCCTGGCCATCAAGGGAGGAGCCACAGCTTCCAAGGAGCTGGAGTTGCAGAGTCAGGAAGTTTCATAACTTCTGGGGTTGGGACACTTTAAGTTTTATTGCTAAACATGAGATGAATACTCTGTCCCAGTTAGTCACAAGGCTAAGGTTGGTTCAAAGGCCATGTGTGCTCAGCAGTCTCAAGGAGGGCGGAAGAGAAGGGAAATACAGCCTGCCTGCTTCCCAGCAACTCTCTGTAAGAAGTATTTTGAGTTTTGTTGTTACTGTTTTTTAAATCTTTTTCTTTTATTTATTTATTTATTTATTTATTTATTTATTTATTTATTTTTAATTAGACCAGAGAGGGACAGAGAGTGAGAAAGCAAGCCGCCAGGTCCAAGTCTCAAACTGCAGTTGGCCACATGGGAGTCCAGTGCCATTAACCACCACACCACCTGCCAGCCCCCGATTTTTTTGTTTGTGTTTTTGAGAAGTTTTTTGCTATAGGGCACAGGCACTCACCAGAGAGACAAAGAAAGAAAGACAAAAAGCAAGAAATCACCCCCCAAGGGGATGGCCATGCCATAATCCCTTCAGTCCCTTCTCCATTCTCTCGGGATCTTGGGCACACAGGCCTATGTGCCCAGTGTGAGTTTTAAGCCACCAGGTCCCAGACTCTAACCACGGTCAACTACATGGGAGTCCCTTGAAAGAACCATTACACCATTAGCTGGTCCCAGAAGCATTTTGGTTTTATCTGAGCTAGGTTCCACTGTTGCCTGTGTGGCTTCAGGGAAATCATTTGAGTTCTCTGGATCTCAGTTGTCTCTTACATAAGATGGGGAACTTCTCTTTAATACTAGCCACATGCCTCTTTAGATTCTTCTTTCTCTTCATGGACCCTTTTTCTGCCCAGAGTGAGTCAATGGTTAGCCAGGGCAGACATTCCCAAGTAGCTCTTCTGGCTTAAGATATGATGATATGCTGGGACCAGCAGATGGCATAATAGTTACATTGCTGGACTCCCACATAGTTGACCACAGTTTGAGTCCCAGACCCAGCAGCTTAAACTCACACCAGCATACATGCATGCACACCCAAAATCCTGAGAGGAGACTGGAGGAGAAGAGATTGTAGTGTGGCAACAGGGGTGAATTCTCACTTTCTGTTTCTGTCTCTCCAGCGAGCACATGTGCCCTATAGCAAAAATCTCTCTTAAAAAAAAAAAAAAAAATATATATATATATACCATAAATGCTAACTTTTGATAGTTCCCACTAACAGCTCAAAGCAGAGCCTATGATTTGAGCTGTTTTTCTAACACTGGGGATAGACTTATGCTATCACTGCCCCTTTTCACAGTTGAGGCCTCTGAGATGTTTGGGGCACAGCCAGCAAATAAGAAACTAACAAAATCAGGTTAACTTCTTGGCCTAGTGGTTGAGGAATCTAGATCACACATGGTAGTTCAAATCCCAGGCCCAGCTGCTTGAAAAGCATGCCAAGTATATATGCATGTGTGCCAAGAATCCCAACAGGATGGAGAAATGGAGACAGGATTGTGAAGTGACTGCTCTTCATGAGGGGTCCTTTCTTCTCGCTCTTCCATGTCTAAATGTACATGCCCTCTGGCAATTAAAAAAAAAATTGAAGGGAATTTGGATCTATATCTTCATTAGCCACATGAGCTCTGAGTTACTCAGAAAGATAGCTCTTGCTCCAAAAATCTACATTGTTAAAACTCATATTTTGCAGGAAATTATATGAACTCATTTCCAGGGAATCTGAATGAATTCCAATGAAGTGTGTGTGGTATAGACCAGCTGCGATCATCCATTTGAATAAGAGATGGGACAACCCAGAGACTGCTCGTTAGAGCCAGATGGTTGGTGTAAGACAGCCTGAGGACCCGGGGTATACTCTGTGCTGCTCCTGAAACCCAAAGGGAAATCCTTCAGGGGAGGGAGCCACCAAGCACTGAGCATCAACTGTGTGCGAAGCACCAGGCTAGGGGTTTTATGCAGATTATTTCCTCCAGGACCCTCGGGAACTGCACACTTTTAGTCCCAGTTTGCAGCTGAGGAAGCTCAGGCTTAAAGAGGGTAAACACTTGCTCCAAATTACATAGCCATTAGCACAGAGCTGGGATCTGAATCCAGGTCTTCATGGCTCCAACTCATGTACCCCTTTGAAACACCATACCTCTTCCATGGGGCTGTCCATAACCTCCTGCCGAAAGCGCATCTGTACTCCAACCATGAAGGGGGTGGGGCAGCAGACGGTGGCCAGGAGGCTCTCGGGGACGACAGGGATGTAGGTGTGTGCCCAGCTGAAGGGATAGAGCAGCGCGGCAGCAGCATGGATGCATTGAGACAGAGTGCTGGGACAGACCACAGACAGTGAGGGTCAGAGGGCCCCTGCACACCCTTCACAGCCCACCACCCACAGCAGCTGCTACCAGAACTGCCAGTGCCACTGCAGAAGGCCAGTCCAGGACCTGTGCTGGTCACAGAGCTTGTCACTACCATTGCAGAGAGGAGAGGGAGAGGAACCAGGACAGACTGTCTCTACTAATCAAGGCTGAGGCCTCTATTTGGTCCTTCTTTGCCCAGTTAGTCTCTACAGCTCACTATTGGCCAAAAATAAAATCATTCGGAAGAGAGAAAGTAAGAAAATCATTGAGACAGACAATCGGTTGGGCCCCCTAATACATGCTCGCCACAGTAATAAGGATGTGGATACTGGAAAGAGTAGGACATTGACCCTGCTCTTAAGGAACTGAGAGTGTAGTGAAGAGACCACTATAAGCGCAGGCTCAGCAGCAAGACAGCCTTTCTTCCTCGTTGGGACAAGCCTTTCTTCCTCGTTGGGTCCCTTGCCCTCATGGCCACGCTCTCTCACACGGCTCCCTCCAGCCACGTGAGGTTATCAAATGCGACCAGGTTGGTGCTTAAGCAAGCTTGGGAAAGTCCCAGGTTCCAGGAACCTCTGCCCAGAATTCCTACACGGAAAGTCCCAGAGGTGGCTCCTCCAGCTGTGCCAACAAGGAACCCTTGTGTCCTTACTGCCCAAGTCACAGCTCAGTCTCACTCCTTCTTCCACTGCATACACCACACACACAGACAACACACACATATTACATATGCCACACACACATACCACATACCATGCACACGTGCCACACACATGTACACACCATGCATGCCACATACACAGCACACCCCACATGCATGCCACACACAGACATCAAACACACACACCATGTGCATGTCATGTATACCATACATACCATATACACACATGTGCACATAGAACACACCATACATGCCATGCACACACCCTTTGCACACATAACACATATACCACATACACACCACACATACCACACACACCATGCATATGTACCACAGGTGTCATAATGACACACAATGTACATACCACACATGCCATGCACACAAATCACACACACCATAAACATATGACACATGTCATGCACATACACAGCACACATATAGCATACACATAGTATACATCCACATATCACACATGACATACACATATACACCAGGCACACACACCATACCCATACATACACATCCTATATACCATGCACATACATTCCATATATACAAACCATGCACATATTATGCACACTCATACCATACACATGTGCCACACACACACCATACACACATGCCACATACACCACACACACAAGCACACCACACACATACATGCACACATCACACACCTCGCACATACCACACACACCATACACACAACCCCACTCTTTGTTAGTCTGCACTAGCTTTTCTACATTTCTCCAGCCAAACTTGCCCCAAAACCAGGGCCAATAAAAACAACAAATGCGGAAACCTTGTTTTAATTCTTGGTAGCACTTCCTGAGTTAGGAAGATTGGGTCTCAGAAAGTCTAGCCAAGGCTTAGGGTGCCTGGAAGTCCCCTCCTGCCTGAGCTTCAATCTGGAAAACTCAGTGTGGGAAGGAAGTAGGGAGTGGTGGGATTTCCCTGGAGAAAGCCAGCGCTTGAGAGGTAACTCCCACCAGCCTCACTTCCCAAACACTGACCAAAGGGAAAGCAGAACCCCAGCTCAGCACAACAGGAACTCCTGGCTTCCACACAGGGCTGGGAGTGGAAGCGCTGTTTCCAAAGTAAAGCATCTGCCACTCCCTTCAAGGTTAGCCCACAGAGTTCCCTTTTAGTTACCGAGTTTTATAGAATTTTCAGCACACAGACCCACTCTGCCCAAGCTTCCTTCCTCAGTTACCCCTGCCATCCACCTGACCCTCTGCCCTGGTGAGTTCTTAACGTCCTTTTTTTCTTCCCCAGAGGACAGAATCAGGTTATTAGGCCAATGCCATGGTTCCCTCTCTCTCCAGATACGAACACAGGGCCAATCCCCTACTATTTCATAGCTATTTTTTCTTATGCAGCTGCCACGTAGCTCTCCATGTCTTTCTCAGACTTGAAGCCCCTCAGAGGCAGGAACCAAGACATGACAAGACCCTGCTTTGACTGCATGGGAACACACTCAGCTGTGAGCTTACTGAGAGTAGCAGCTAGCACTTACAATGAAAGCCTGGCAGGGCGCCAGGACAGTAAGAACCTCACGCATTATTTCATTAGATCCTCAGCACAGCCTTATGAGGTAGGTACAACTGTTATTTCTGTTTTACAGATATAGAGATCATGTCTTAAGAAGTTAAGAACTAATCTAAGAGGGACGTCATAGTTAAAGATGGAGGAACAGAATGTGAACCTCATTCTGCTGATTTTAATACCTATGCACTCAACCACTACATAATTCGGCATCTCCTTCGGGTCAAGGATCAGGCTTGTTTATATCTTTCCAGCGCTTAGCATCTGACAAACAGTTGACACAAAATAAATGTTTGTTGAGTGAATAAATGTTGAGTAAATCAATGGATAGATGGGCTTAACTTCCAGACAATTAAACACCTTCCTGTACTGTTCTCCACCCTCTTT